ATAATGACAGGTTATTTGTACAGTGCGTCATAAGACCAAGAACTCTTCACAACCACCGTGGGCCAGAGAGCTCCAGCAGTCTCATCCTTGTTTTTACAGATGAGGAAACTGAGACTGAGAAAGGTTGCAGGTGGCAGAATAAGGACTTGAACCCAGGTTTGACTTGTGGTGAGGGCTCTTTCCACCCTTGCCGCCGCTGCACTTAGGAAATGCTATCGGGCATTGTCCCCACTGTGTGCCTCCATCTTCCCTCCCATCCGCATGAGCAGGGGCAGTCCTGTATAATTTCTTTATTGCACACACAACATTGTGCCTGCTGGGCACCTACTTCCCTCTGCATCTAGTGCAGGCTCCATCCCACATTTGCTTGGCAGGGCTGAGAGCTGCTCTGGGGTGAATCAGGGCTCTGTGGCCCAGCCCAAGAGAAAACAGTTTTAATAGAGAGATCCAGGCATAGGCCTTGGCTGCCTGCCTTGGCAGAGGCACTTCCCAGGGCAGAAGTACAAACCCAGAGTTCTTTGACCACCTTATCCCAGCATCAGCAGGCCCTAAATTGTTCATTTCCTTGAAGGAAGGTTGCTGTCAATTAGACTTGTTCTGTTTAAGGTTTTGATCTCAACAAAGATGAGTAGGTCATTTCAGTGAGTCTGTGTGTGACTCTGAGAGACCTGCCCACGGCTGCCTGCCAGCTGGCCTCAGCCATCCAGAGCATGCTCCTACAGTGACCTGCCTGAGGCCAGCCCTCATGGGATGTTTCTAATAGTAATGACAAAAAATGTGCTTGAGCTTAGGTGGCAGTGGGAATGTTTTTCAAAGCACAGTCATACTCAAAGAAACATTGGAGCAGGCATGACCAACTCCTTTAGAACCTAGGGAAGAGAGATTAGCCATGGGGACTTGGGTCCACGGAGCTGTTAAGTTGCAAAATTGAGACAGGAACGCAGATCTTCTATACCCAGCCACAAGATGTCTGCATTCTATCAGCCATCCACCATCCAGTAGGGCTGGTCAGGTTTATGTTGGATACCCTCTGTCCTGCTCCAGGTTCCAGGGCTCTTCAAGAGCCAGAGGGCCAGGAGCAGTGACTCATACCTGTAATCCCAGCACGTTGGGAGGTTGCGGTGGGTGGGTCATCTGAAGTCAGGAGTTCAAGACTAGCCTGGCCGACATGGTGCAGAATGATGGCTGCCAGGGGCTGGGGCCGGGGGAATGGGAAGGTGTTAGTCAAAGGGTACAAAGTTTCCCTTATGCAAAGTGAATACTTCTGGAGATAAAACAACAACAACGACAACAACCAGGCTCATGCCTGTAATCCCAGCACTTTGGGAGGCTGAGATGGGCGGGTTGCTTGAGGCCGGAAGACTGAGACCAACCTGGGCATCATAGTGGGACCTTGTCTCCACAGATACTTTAAAAATTGGCCAGGTGTGGTGGTGCACACCTGTAGTCCCAGCTACTCATGGGGAGGTGGAGACTGAGGTGGGAGGATTGCTTGAGCCCAGGAGTTTAAGACTGCGGTGGGCCGTGATCACACCACAGCACTCTGGCCTGGGCAACAGAGTGAGACTGTCTTAAAAAAAAAAAAAAAAGGAGAGAGCGACACTACTTATAGAGTATCAAAGAATGTCCACAGTTACCAGGAAAGGCTACTAAAAATATTTGTCTTAGAAAAAATTAGCGGTGGCCAGGAGTTAGGGAGGTGGTGAGGGAGGAAGGGAAGTGTCTTCAGATATTCAAGGTAGCACAAGAGATCTGTGTGATGGAACTGAGTGTCTTCACTGTGTGGCGGTTACATGAATCTGCACATGTAATGAAATTACACAGCACTAACTACACACACATATGAGTTCACGTTAAAACTGGTGAAATCCGAATAAAGTTACTGGATTTGATCAATGTTGATTTTCTGGGTGTGATATCTTACCATAGTTAGGCAAGGTGTTACCACTGGGGAAAGGCAGGTGAAAGGGCTGCGGGATCTTTTTGTATTAAACCTACAATTATCTCCGAGTAAAAAGGTTTTTTTTTTTGTTGGTTTTTTTTTTTTTTTTTTGAAATGGAGTTTCACTCTGTCGCCCAAGCTGGAGTACAGGTGAGATCTTGGCTCACTGCAACCTCCGTCTCCCGGGTTCAAGTGATTTTCCTACCTCAGCCTCCTGAATAGCTGGGACTGCAGGCCCCTGCCACCACACCCAGCTAATTTTTGTATTTTTAGTAGAGATGTGGTTTCACCATATTGGCCAGGGTGGTCTCGAACTCCTGACCTTGTGATCCGCCCACCTCAGCCCCTCAAAGTGCTGGGATTACAGGTGTGAGCCACCAAGTCTGGCCAAAAGTTTTTTAAAGAAGTTTTAGGATTCTTATTTTTGGGACCCTCCTCATACCTACTGAATAGAAAACTCTGAAAGGGTGAGACCCATCCAGCTATCTATATTTGAGAACACTCTGCCCAGGGATTCTGTCGTGTAACCAGTCTCAAAACCCATTCTTCTCAAGCCCTGAGCTGGGTGAATGGGAGCTCCCAGTGTCCTGTCTGCTGTCTTTAGGGGTTTGTATTTCCTCAAGAGTGTCGCTGTGATTGTGGTTGAGGAGGGCTGGAGGCAGGAGGTAATGAAATATTGCTTTGCTGCAATCTCTTAGTTTTAAAATCGAAGTGTTTCATCTTCCCACAAGCTAGGCAGCTCCCCTGGGTGGGGTCTTGCTCTCTCTTCTCCAGCCCTCTCCACCCACAGCGCAGTGCATGGTGTGAAAGCCCAAAGCAGCAAGTTCAATTTCCCAGGTTCCTTCCTCCTATCCAGCACAGGTCCACGAGCTTCTCTTTAGGCATTTCAGTACTTCCGGAAATAGCAATGCCATTCCCAAGCCCCTGTCCCCCGCCTCCTCACAGTAAGGACACGGCTTACTGTGTCCCTCATCCTATAGTAATCTCCCTGGACCTCTATTTGACAATCACATGACTTGGTGCCAGGTGCCAGCTAAGCACTTCACTCCAAGGCAACTCAGAGGAAAGTAATATCATTATCCTTATTTTTCAGATGAGAGAAATAAGGCTCAAATAGGTCCTGTGACTTGCTTAAGTCCACACAGCTAATAGATGGTGGAGTGGGGATTTGAACCTCTGGCTTCTGACCCTAGAGTCTATACTTTACCACCAAGTTGCTCTGGGCAGGCACCTGCCTCTGCGTCCCCTTCAGCCTTTGTAGGATATCCCTGCTTGTTCTTTCAACCTTTCTTTCCAGCCTCCCCGTGCAGGTTCCACGGGCTTATCAGTTTGACACAGTGCTATGACTCAACACATACTCTGCATAAGGCTTGATCACTTACTGGCTGTGTGATCTTAGGTAAAGTTAATTAGCCTCTCTGGGCCTCAGTTCCCTCATCTATAAAATCAGAGGCTATCTATGCATGGGTCGTAGAGGATTGTGTATAGGACTTAGCTCAGCACCACCACTAGTCGTTACAATGTCATGTAGCATTTATAATGATTATCCTACACCTTCGTCTTTTAGGGCAGGGCTTGGTAAACTACAGCTCATGGGCAACAACTAAACAGCGTTTACATTTTTATTATTTAATTATTTATTTTGAGGTGGAGTCTCACTTTGTCACCCATGCTTAAGTGCAGTGGCATGATGTCAGCTTACTGCAATCTCCACCTCCGGGGTTCAAACGATTCTCCTGCCTCAGCCTTCCCAGTAGCTGGGACTACAAGTGTGTGCCACAAACCTGGCTTTTTTTTTTTTTTTTTTTTAATTTTTAGTAGAGACGGGGTTTTGCCATGTTGGCCAGGCTGGTCTCAAACTCCTGACCTCAAATGATCCAGCTGCCTCGGCCTCCCAAAGTGTTGGGATTACAGGTGTGAGCCACCGTGCCTGGCCTACATTTTTAAATAGTTGAAAAAGAACCAAAAGAATAAAATTTCATGACGTGGAAATTATATGTCATTCAAATTTCAATGTCCCCAAATAAAGTTTTATCGGGATACACGACACTCGTTTGTTTCCATAGTGCCTATGACTGCTTTCATACTACCATGGCAGAGTTGAGTACGTTGCTGCACCAGAGACTGCATGGGCCACAAAGGCAAAATGATTTTCTATCTGGCTCTTCACAGAAAATGTCTGCCAACCTCCATTCTAGAACATAAACGCTTTATTCAAAAGGTTCCTCCTGCACTTGAGTCCCTAGCAGTAAATAGAGAGCAGCAATAGTCCTGTTTCTTTACAGAACACATTGGAAGAAGCGGGTTGTGGAGCACGGGCACAACACAGGCTTTGGACCCAGGCAGCGGACAATGGGCATTAGGGACAGAAAAGCTAAGAGGATTAGGTCACTGGCTTGGACTCAAAGAAACCCACCCTCCTCTTCCTAACATCCTCTTTATCATTTGGCTTCTAGAATTTCCCAGCCTCTCTTGCACTTAGTGGGGTCATGTGATTAAGGCCTGAAAAATGATGTCTAAGCAGGATTGCTGTTCCAGCTTCTAGAACAGTTCCTTAAAACGTGCCAGCATGTGCTCCGCCCCTTCTCTTTGATCTCCCCTTTACCTTGTTGCCTGGACCAAGGATGTGATGGCTGGAGTTCTGGCAACCATTTTGGACCATGAAGATAAGAACTACTTCTTAGGAACAGCCGAATAGTGAGGGAAATGGTCTGGTTCCCTGAGAACTGGGAGGGACAGAACCATAATCCAGTCCTGAATTACTTGCCCCTAGACTTTTACATGAAAAAGTGAAGAAAAAAAAAGACTCCCACAAAAACAAAAGTAATTACATCTATTGAAGCCATTGTTATTTTGCAGTTTTTACTCTGAGATGAACTTACTAATCCTGATTGATATGGTCCGCATTGTGTGTTTTGGTGGTAACGTCTTCTTTTCTCCCTTTTTCAGCTGTCCTTGATCTCCATTTAGACCGAGGTCCCTGTCTCAAACTGTGGGAGAGCTGTGGTGGAGGAGACAGGCTATCTCTGGGGATTAAGGAGGCAGTGGGGAGCACAGCCTGGTTAAGAGGACTTATGCCAATTTCTCCTTCCCTCAGCCTGGTAAATGAGGAGGTGCAGCACCTTCTTCCCGGCTTCACACTGAGCAAAGCACATACAAAGATGTTTCTTTTTATTTTATTTTATTTGAGACAGAGACTTGCTCTGTCGCCCAAGCTGGAGTGCAGTGGCACGATCTCTGCTCACTGCAACCTCCGCCTCCCGGGTTCAAGGGATTCCCCTGCCTCAGCCTCCTGAGTAGCTGGGATTACAGGTGTGTACCACCATGCCCACTAATTTTTGTATTTTTAGTAGAGATGGGGTTTCACCATGTTGGTCAGGCTGGTCTCAAACTTCTGACCTCATGATCCGCCTGCCTCGGCCTCCCAAAATGCTGGAATTACAGGCGTGAGTCACTGCACCCGGCCCTATTTAATTTTTATATATTCAGCTAGCTACTTCATTATCATCATTTACCCTCTGATAGTCACCTAAGTACTGAAGGCAAGCATTGCCTTTATAAAATCAAGACCTGATCACTTCACTGTCTATTCTAAAACCCAGGATGCCAACATCCACATTGTTATAAGGAAAAGCCTTAGTCCAACCTTCACAGTCTGGCTAAAGCCAACCTTTTCATTTCCTCTCCCACTTCTCCCACTCAGAAAACCTAAAGTGTAGCCACTGCGAGGTGAGGTACCTACCAATGTGAGCCTTCCAGCGGCATCCGGTCCCACAGGGTGTTGTACAGGTGGCCACTAGAGGGACTCTTCTCAAAGTTAACAACAGAATGCGTGTGCCTCTGTGCGTGCGTGTGCGTGTGCGTGTGCGTGTGTGCGTGTGTACGTCTGTGCGCGCATGCGCCTGAGTAGCAGGTGGGCTTCAAGGCTTGATTATCAGCTTACCCACCTAAGAGCAGGTGATAGAAGATGCTGACCCGGATTGGGGCCTTGGGTATTTACTCAGGCAGGTTAGAGCAGGCCCTGGGGAGCAGGGAGAAGAGTGGGTCTGGGAATGGAAGGAGGGAAGGTGCCTTGGAAAGTTTTGTATAGACCCGCTTTGCTTTCTTAACCCTCCCCATATGCATTCGGGGCTGGAAGACAATGGAACCAATTTTTGAGTCATGGCTTGAACCCCTTGCTTTCCTAACTCAGGAATTCAGGGGCAACATAGAAATGGACAGCATAGCATCCCTCTCTATCTAATCTCACTTCGCCAACTCAGGAGTTCAGTGAAGTCACATAGTGAGGAACATTTACGCTTTTTTTAAATTTTAGGAGAAAAAAGTCATTGAGATAAAAGATAAAATATTTGCTAATACTTAATGAATCTATGTTTTATAAAAACCTAATTATTAGTCTCATAGAATTAAAGTTATTAAGAGTCATGCTGATTAAAATAGTGCATCTTTTAGCTGCTTATATGTTATATTCTATACAACCAGAATGAGGACAATTTGGTTTGTAATTGTCCTTGCTCTGATGATCACATTTTGGCTATTGCAGAATTAAGTTCGATTTCCTCAAACTGATGTTCAAAACCCTCAAGTATATTACCTGCATTTTCCTACCCAGCTGAGCAATCTTACTGCCTGCTCACTTCTCTCTCTTTTGCTGTCGGAGGTCTTCATGCTAGGAACTTGCCCTGCCCTCTCCTTTGTCTTCCAATATAATCCCTTTAGAGACAGCTATTATTATGATGATTATTATTTGTTGTTGTTGTTTTTGTTCTTGTTCTTGTTTTGAGATGGTGTCTCCCTCTTTTGCCCAGACTGGTCTAGGGGCTCAATCTCAACTCACTGCAACCTCCACTTTTTGGGCTCAAGCGATTCTCCTGCCTCAGCCTCCCGAGTACCTGAGATTACAGGCACGCACCACCACGCCCAGCTAACTTTTGTATTTTTAGTAGAGATGGGGTTTCACCATGTTGGTCAGGCTGATCTTGAACTCCTGACCTCGTGATCCACCCTCCTCGGCCTCCCAAAGTCCTGGGATTACAGGTGTGAGCCACCGCGCCTGGCTAGAGACAGCTGTTCTGTCACCCTTAGAATCTGCACCAGACTTCAACACTGGAATATATTATACTTTATTTGTTTGCTCAAGTTGCATGTGCAGAAGCCTCATTTCTAAACAAAACTGTAAGCTACGTAAAGATGAAGACTGTGATATTTTTTCTTTTTCTTCTCTTTCCTTTTCTTTTCAAATTCTTAGAGTCAGGCCAGTAGCAGCAGGCTTTCAATAAATGTCTCCGAATTTGCCTCTTGTTGAAAAGCAGGCATTTGACTGGGAAGTGCACTAGGAGCAAAAGGGAACCAGCAATAATAAAACCTGGCGAAATGCAATTTCCTGTTTTGTGTGGCAATGGAGTCAAATATTTCTGCTGTATCTCCTAGGAAATATAGAACAAATCAAAACGGAAAAAAAATGTAAGGAAGTCATCCTGAATGGTTGCTACAGAAGCAAAATAAAGCATCAAGCTTTCCTAACCTTGGATCCCACAGTTGGCAAATTGAAGTGTAAGGCCACCTTGGCCACGTGGGCCCAGAGCCAGCCTGCACCTGTGCAGGTGTGGCTCATATTCCGTTCTTTCCATTTGGTTTGGGTTAACATTTACATCGCCCCCTGCAGGCGAGAGGTTGACTGGAGCGTGCTCTCCTGGCAGCCAAGGCAAAGGGCCAAGGACCAGATGGTAGGGGGTGCGTGTGGAAGGGCCGGCGGTCCTTTGCCTCCCTTCTGCGGAGTCCTGGGTGTTGCGGGCCTGGGGCTTGGCAGTGGAGGCAGGGGCCGGACTATACTTCCAACACCCTCCTTCTGCCAGCTGCTTCTGCTGCGGGTCTGCCTGTGAGAGGTACTGATAGAGGCTGAAAGCAGGAAGAAGAAATGAGCCTCTGTTGCCTCCTGTCCCTTGGCGGGGGCTCTGGTCACAGCTGCAGCCACACGGCGTGGGCTCTTGGTTCCCGATCAGGACCCCAAGCAGCCCCATCAGCACAGTGGCAAAACCTCGAGCAGGCCAGTGCTGTGTTGGCAGGTTGGGCGCCGGCATTCTGATGTCTGGGAGATCTCCTCCTTTGTGCTCCCCTGGCCCTTTAAGAATCTTTTGCAACCAGTTTTCTGCATGAAATTCCAGCATGAACTATGTAAAGCTGGGCCCACACCTGGTAGGGGGGCTGCGGTGAGGGGTGTGTTCAGCAGGCCTGAATTTCAGCTAGAAATCTGGGGATAAGAGAAATATTGCATTTCCTTCGCCCCCTTCCCTCCTTCCCTCCTTCCCTCCTTCCCTCCTTCCTTCCTTCCTTTCCTTCTTTTTTTTTTTTTTAAACAGAGATGGGGTTTCACCATGTTGGCCAGGCAGGTCTCAAATCCCGACCTCAGGTGATCTGCCCGCCTCAGCCTCCCAAAGTGCTGGGATTACAGGTGTGAGCCACCACGTCCAGCCTCTTTCCTTGTTTTTTTCTTCTTTCTCTCTCTTTCTCCCCCGTCTCTCCCCTTTTTCCTTCCTTCCTTTCCTTCCTCCCTCTCTCTTTCTTTCTTTCCTTCTCTTTTTTTTTTTTGAGACGGAGTTTTGCTCTTGTTATCCAGGCTGGAGTGCAGTGGTGCGATCTCCGCTCACCGCAACCTCCACCTCCTGGGTTCAAGCAATTCTCCTGCCTCAGCCTCCTGAGTAGCACCACGATGCCTGGCTAATTTTTGTATTTTTGGTAGAGAAGGGGTTTCACCATGTTGACCAGGATGGTCTCGATCTCTTGACCTTGTGATCTACCCGCTTCAGCCTCCCAAAGTGCTGGGATTACAGGCGTGAGCCACCGCACCCGGCCCTCTTTCTTTCCTTCTTTCTCTCCCCCCTCTGTCTCTCCTCCCTCCCTCCCTCCCTTCCTTCCTTCCTTCTTTCCTTCCTTCCTTTCTCTCTCTCTCTCCCTCCCTCCCTCCCTTTCTTTCTCTCTCCCTCCCTCCCTTGCTCCTTTCATTCCTTCCTTCTTTTCTTCCTTTTTTCCCCCCCAAGGTCTTGCTTTGTTACCCACGTGGGAGTGTAATGGCACAATCATGGCTTACTGCAAGCCCAGCTTCCTGAGGTCAAGCAGTCCTCCCACTTCAGCTTCCTAAGTAGCTGGGAGCACAGTCTTGCACCACACTTGGCTAATTTTTGCAGCTTTGTAGAGATGGAGTCTTACTACATTGTCCAGGCTGGTCTCTAACTCCTGGGCTCAAGTGATCCTCTCACCTTGGCCTCCCAAAGTGCTAGGATTACAGGTGTGCACCACCGTGCCCAACCACGTTTGCTTTTCCTGAATAAACTTGATTTTACCTTCAAGTTCACTGACTGCTGGGCAGTCATTGGTAGGGCTGCGCTGATGTCCCGGGGGAGCATGGAGGTTCTGGTCATTCCTGGGGCCTGGCACTGGTGAGGCCCCCAGGTTACAGTCAGCAGGCCCCTACTGTCTTAGTCTGAAGCTTCGGGGCTGCCACCTCTGTTGGGCCTTCTCCTACTGGGAGCACAGGAGCCTTCGTTAAGTCCGGGGCCCAGGCCTAGGATGCAGCCTGCCTGGGGCATCACACAGCACTTCCCTCTGATGTCCTGCCAGGGAGTAGGATGCGCTCCTGTTTCCTAGTGCGAGTCACACACTTCTCTCTCCTGTCCCTACCCTGGGAGAGTTTCCTTTGGGTCTGAGACAATTGTCTCCTTTCCTCTGCTTCATGCTTCCTTCACCTCTTCTCACTGAGCCTGTGCTTTTGGAAATAAAAGCCAGGAAGGGGACCTGGAGGGAACTACGACTTCCTGCCCTGCCTCAAATCTCCCTGTGCTAAGAAGGCCAGGATCTCCTATCTGCTCACATGTGGGAAGGGAAGGAGAACTCCAGGGAGGAGAATTTAAACTGATTTCTTCAAAGCTTCTCCTGCCAGAACTGACTCTGCCGAGGAGCTCCATCACTTCTGCAGCGTTGCTGCCAGTACGTCCTGATCTGAATCTAACCATGAAGAAATAATCAAATAGGAATTGAGTAGCAGTCTGCAAAATGCCTGCCTGTGCTCTTCAAAAACGTCAGTGTCCTGAAGGGAAAAGGCCGAGCAAGTCTTCCAGGAAAAAGGAGGCTCAGAAAGACGCGACAGCCAAGTGCAGTGGGGATCGGGAACTGGAAGGAGGGCTAGGAAAGAAAATGCTACAAAGGCCGTTTTGAGACAATGGTTAAAATTTGAATATCGTCTATATATTATATAGGGTGTTATCTCTGCGTTGAATTTCCTCTCTTAATTGTATTGAGGTTATGTAAGAAAGCATCTTTCTCCTTAGGAGCCACACGGAAGTATTTCAAAGAGGCACAATGTCCTCAGTGGACTCTCAAGTGGTTAAGCCACACACGTATACATATATACATGTTTACATACCTATACATCTATGTATACACATATAAACATGCATATATGTATATGCATGTATACACAGTACATATGTATTTAGAACATGTGTACATATATTCGAAATTTATAATGTGCATTAAGCAAGTGAGATGAGACATTAACACTTGGTGAATCTAGGCAGACTGTGTGGAAGAGCCGTCCCCTCCCCTCAGAGGGTGAACGGGTCTGCCAGCGATGTGTCTCAACTGAACTGGCAGGACCAGAGCAGACGAAAGCTCCCGTGGGCACTGCTTCAAGTTACCAGGATGGAGGAGAAGCAGGTGATGGGGCCCAAGTTTCTCCCAGGAATGAAAAGCGAAGGCTTTGGTGTGGGGTGCAGAGCTGGCCCAGGGAGTGGGTGGGGGTGGTGCGAACTGGAATCAGTTAAGGAAGAGCTACGAGATGGGATGTATCAGAGGGGATCTGGAGAATTCGCAGGATTCTACTGGGTCGAAAGCAGAGGGTTCCTTGATCTAGGGTACATCCAGGGCTGGCTCTGGATGGGTCTTTGGGAGACTGAGGAGAGTAGATGAAGTGACCTGGTTCCTGACCCCTTGGCAAGTAGTGGGCAAAACGATTTCTAATTATGTAGTGGGAGATGAACATGTTACAGGCGAGGCAGGGTACAAGGGGTTGGTAAGGGAGAAAACAGGTTGCGGCTTAGACAAAGCGTGGGCAGTAGTCACTGCAGGTGCTGAGCTGACTCACCCCAGTGGAATCTTCTCCACCATGGCGGTTACCTCAGTTGGACAGTGATAAAAGGTGGCTGGCTGCTCTTGAACCTGGGCTGGTATATCAAAAGCAAATCCAAAGAGGTTGTAATCAGACAGGTGAAGTGTTGGCCGTGGACAGAGGCGGCATCAGTGATCATGAAGATCTAGGCCAAACTCACAGGCTGCTCTAAGCTTCTGCATGGATGTGTATGGGAGAGGCAGGTGACAGCCCCGGGTCTCCTCCTGAAGAAACGCTCTTAGGCGTTGTGAGAGTGTAGTGTACAAGGGACCAGAGGGAAAGGGTATGGAGCCTGTGGGCAACACCAAGTTCAGATCTTGAGAGGCAGTTTCAGGCGCTAATCCCAGCCAGCCACGCGGGGTACCCACGCGTTAGCTTGTTACTGTGCCCAGCACTCTGAGCGCCACAAAGCATAGCATGGCAAACCCTCACCGGAGATGAGGGCGTGGTGGCTCACATCTGGAATCCTTAGGAGGCCGAGGCGGGCGGATCACTTGCGTTCAGTGGTTCAAGAGTACCCTGGTCAACATGGTGAAACCTCATTTCTACTAAAAATAGAAAAATTAGCTGAGCACGGTGGCGGGTGCCTGTAATCCCAGCTACTTGGGAGGCTGAGGCAGGAGAATCTCTTGAACCCGGGAGGCGGAAGTTGTATTGAGCCAAGATTGTGCCACTGCACTCCAGCCTGGGTGACAGAGCAAGATTTTAAAAAAGAAGAAGAAAAGGAAGTTTCTGTTGGGTGCAGTGGCTCACGCCTGTAATCCTAGCACTTTGGGTGGCCAAGGCGGATGGATCACCTGAGGTGAGGAGTTCAAGACTATCCTGGACAACATGGCGAAACCCTGTCTCTACTAAAAATACAAAAAAAAAAAATTAGCTGGGCATGGTGGTGAATGCCTGTAATTAATTGTAGCTACTCAGGAGGTTGAGGCAGGAGAGTCACTTGAACCCAGGAAGTGGAAGTTGCAGTGGGCTGAAATGGCACCACTGCATTCCAGCCTGGGTGACAGAGTGAGACTCAGAAAAAAAAAAAAAAGAAAGAAAAGAAAAGGCAACTTCCTCCCAGGAGTTGGGGAATTGGATCTCTACAGCTGAAAATTCAGAGCTTTCCCCGAACCCAAGGCGTGGAAGGAAAGGTTAAAACGGTAACAATAAGGTCACTATAAGGTGCAGTGAAGTTATATCAGGCGTGTATTTACTCAATAAATTCAATTGTCTTTGCTAGAGGCTGCAGTAGAAGGCAGAGAGAGAAAGAGGAGAGAATGAGAGCAAGAGCCAGTGTGAGAGAGAAAGAAAACAAAGCCCCTGGGTGCCTCCCGGCTCCTTGTAGTCCCTTCACCTGGGCCACGCTTATGAAGACAGTCCTTTTACTAAGTGTTATTTAATCACTTCCAGCTTTGACTATGTCCTCTCCCAAACGCACGTGTTGGGATCTTAATCCCCAGTGTGACAGTGCTGTGAGGTGTGGCCTCTTGGGAGGTGCTCAGGTCATGAGGGCTCTGCCCTCATGGATAGCTCAGTGCCATTATTAAAAGGGGTGAGGAGTGGGGTTGCCTTCAGCTCTTCTGCCATATGAAAACGAGCTCTTCTCTTGTCCTTCCATCTGTCCTTCCATGTGAGGGTGGCGACCAAAGATGCCAGCGCTTTGGTCTTGGACTTCCCAGCCTCCAGAACCATGAGAGGATACATTTCTGCTCTCTATAAATTACCTAGTCTTGGTTATTCTGTTACAGCTGCAAAAGTGGACTAGGATAGTCACCCTCTGTGAGTGCCTGCTGCTCCTTGCCAGGGCCTTGTCATAGACAACGGTAAGGGTTATTTTACCATATGGAATGCTAGCATTCGATGCATTTGAAGGAAAATGTTATCCTCACGGCTTTTTACCTGGAAATGGTGCAGTTAAATACACACCTGTAGATGGAGTGAGCACTGGCTTTTATCAGCAGAACAGAGAAGCCAAAACCCAGGCCACACACTGATGACCAATCACTTGACTCCCAAAGTCCAGGCTGATCCCACTGGGAGCAGAAGGCTGCCACTCTGCCACGTGTGTGTGTGGGCAGGGGTGTGAGGAAAGAGGAACAGGATTCTTCTAGGTTCACAGGTTCC